GACGTGAACCTCTCCAAAAATCTAACAGCGCGTCAATTCTACGCAGACCGCAAGCGCTGTGATTGGTCTGCAAGAACCCCTCCCTCCATATGTACTTGAGTTTTGTGTGTGTTCATGTGCACTTTAATATATTTTAATGTTACACCTACTTATATAAAATAAAACAAAGCAAAGAACAAGTGTCTTATCATTTATTATACTACATAGCATTATACATCAGTAGTTGTCCGCAACAAACAATGTTGATCTGCCGTGGTACAAGTCCTTGTGCAGATTGAAAGAATGCCATCATCTCCTGTTCCGTTGTTGTCTCCTTTTTGTAGTTTTAAATAATGATTTAATGATTTGATATTTATTTGCCGCCGTCGTAGTTCGTCTGTTAATATCACATGCACTTTTTTGTTTGTTGTTTTTTTTAGTTTGTTACTCAGACATAGGCAGTGCTGCTGCATGAGACAAAAAAGTAATATAGCCAAAACAACCGCATAGCCGCTCTTTAGTGTAGATGCATGTTGATTTTATCAGACAATGCCACGAATATAAATGAGAGTGACTCCTGTTTAACTTGTATTAAAAGGGGTCGTGTTTAGTCAATATTTAGTGTGGTATTTTTGACAATATTCACTTATCATGACAGTAAAATAGGGCATTCCAAGTCAATATACTGCAGTATTTCCTCTCTCAATCAGTAGAAAATATGGTTAACACCCGGTCATGCATGAAAAAAAATACCATCATGTACCGTGAAACCGGTATAATTTTGAAAAATACCGTGATATAAATTTTTGGTCATACCGCCCAGCACTAGACACAGTGTTAGAATCATTGTAACGTGACGATCAAATATAGGTGGGTGGCAGGCGGATCATTTGAAGCAGCGGAATCAGGTGAAGTTTGAGCTCATTTGCGCATCTTTACACTACACTGACCTGGGTTGCCGGTAGCAAACAATGGAGCGCACTCTGCTGGACAAACCAAGTAATTACACCATTTAGAAGCATTTCATCTGCATAATGGTGGTGCTCATCGTTTACTCAGGAAAAAGGTCTATATGTTCTGTAAAAAACAAATGTTCATATCGGCGGCATATTAGCTGATACCGATATATCTGCGACAGGCTCATATCGGCCGATAAAATCGGCAAAACGATATATCGGTCAGGCTCTAGTCAACATCACATGTTTTAAGGCCTGTTGTCACCAAGACACCAAGACAAGGTTTGCATGTGATCTGTCTGTTCAGACAAGGACAAAAGAAACAGCAAACGTGCTCAATAATAAAACGCAAGAATTCAGCATTACACAGAACAACGGTACACAATTTTCAATTTTTGCAAATCTGCCATTTATTAAACAACATTAAATACAAGAATAGAGAGACGAGAGCTGCTTTGGCATGCGAATTGAATTAAATTCTTTATCACACTAAACATCTGTCTTGGTGTGAAAAAGCTTTTAGAGCTTCATGACTCTGTAACATTGGGGTTGTCATTAATGAATAGTTCAGCTGAAAATACTGAAAATTATATAGACACCTTTCTCAACATTTGGACCATTTAAATATGATGTCATTGTTGTTAAAACTGGTTTCCATTTACTTCCTCTAACTGGTAATTATTTACTGAGAAAGCACCTCGACTAGTACATGTTTGTTTTTCCCTATTTCAACAAATATATTTCCTGGTTATGAAGAGTCAACAGCACAGAGGTGCAGGCCAAGAAGTCTATGAATTTAAGTTTCACCCAGCTGTTTAACAATAACATGCAAGTGATTACCCAGGCTGTATTTATGCTGTCCATAAATACAAGTAAAAAAAAATGAACCAAATATTAAAGAACTGAATTGCATTGATTAATAGATTTATACATCGACAAAAACTATAAGGCTTCTGTCTTTGGATATGCTTAAAAGCTAAATGTTTAGAGGGGGAAACCTAACTAAATGCATTCCCTTTGATATGGTCATCTATAACGGTTTAAATATTTGTCCTGAAACATTTCCTACATTTTAAAATTCAAGGATAAAAAGAGATTCCCACAAAGATAAAGTTATAGTCCAAAACCTGCTGGGGGCAATGCTTGACCAGAGCAGTTATGGCTTGCACACATATCCGCTCCAGGGCATCCCAATATGCCGACTCAAAGCGCTTGAAGCCAAATCTGCAACTGGGTCAGGAATGAGATGAAAAAAAAAATAGTTTGCATTCCCTTCATTGGACTTTTTCAAGTTTTGTTGGTTTACAGCACAGAATCAGCAGAAATGGTTCAGAAAAACAGATTTTTTAATGTCTAAAGTTAAAACAATATAATGTAAAAAAAAAAAAAAAGATCACTAGTGCAGTTAATTAGATTTAGAAGTCACATAAATAGTTAAGTGGACATAACCGGTGTGGTTGAGAGTAGAGGTCGACCGCTAGCTATCGGTATCGGCAAAATCCACTATCGGTCGACCTCTAGTTGAGAGGTTCGATTGACTGAAGTACAACACAATGTACTCAATGTATTATAACACAAATAAGGGGTTAAAGTTAAATAAACAAAAGGTTGGTCACCATACACTAACAAACTTTATGTAATCTACCGAGCTTGAAAAAAAATGAGGAAGGGTCTTGGTGGCCACATGTGAGAGAAACCTTTCCACACAGACCAACGGTGCATCTACTACATACTGACTTGAAATGGGTGAATACTAATAAGAACTGTAATCAATTTAGTAGAAAGTAATATTCTACTATAACAATATTCTTCATTGTAAGTGGAAAAAAACATTTAAAAACATCTCTGGTTTCTTTTTATAGCATCCAGTTATAATTTAATACAAAAAGAAAAGGCAACAAGCATCTTTAAAACAGTAAACGTTGACTGGGAGATAAGCAATGATGAACGACAACAGAAGTATGTTTACCGTTACCGACTAACTACTTAATCTGTAATCAGTATCCATTGTTATTGACCACTTAAAAACCTAGGGGATCACCAAGACCACCAAAGACAAAGCTATCACATGCCATTACATGAGCATGTGGATTGAGTCCAAAGATCAACAACTTAGCAACTGAGAAGTATCCTACTATGACTATGCCTTTGTCATACTATGATGAATTTACAGGGTTAATCAATGGCTGTACAAGTTCTAAAAGATCTTTTTGAAGCATCAGCATGCTAAGAGATGTTTAAATGTAATTTATGTGCCAAACAGACAGTCCTGACTCAAACTCAATCTACTGGTTGAGCCAAAGTTGCTGTGTCAGGCTGGTCAAGATGCTTAAACAAATAAAGCATTGATGGATAGTGTCACAGAGCCACAACCTACAAATGCTCTACTCGCCTATGCATATTCATTTAGGATAAAGTATGTTAACACTGAAAAATGCACATTTTAAACAGCACGTAAGAATTTCGTACATACAGGTGCATCTCAATAAATTAGAATGTCATGGAAAAGTTCATTTATTTCAGTAATTCAACTCAAATTGTTAAACTCGTGTATTAAATAAATTCAATGCACACAGACTGAAGTAGTTTAAGTCTTTGGTTCTTTTAATTGTGATGATTTTGGCTCACATTTAACAAAAACCCACCAATTCACTATCTCAACAAATTAGAATACTTCATAAGACCAATAAAAAAAACATTTTTAGTGAATTGTTGGCCTTCTGGAAAGTATGTTCATTTACTGTACATGTACTCAATACTTGGTAGGGGCTCCTTTTGCTTTAATTACTGCCTCAATTCGGCGTGGCATGGAGGTGATCAGTTTGTGGTACTGCTGAGGTGGTATGGAAGCCCAGGAAAATGAATTCTGCTGGAAAATGAAATCAGCATCTTCAAAAAGCTGGGGTGTTTTGTGTTGATTAGCTGATTGGCATGTCACCATATTCTAATTTGTTGAGATAGTGAATTGGTGGGTTTTTGTTAAATGCGAGCCAAAATCATCACAATCAAAAGAACCAAAGACTTAAACTACTTCAGTCTGTGTGCAATGAATTTATTTAATACACGAGTTTCACAATTTGATTTGAATTACTGAAATAAATGAACATTTCCACGACATTCTAATTTATTGAGATGCACCTGTATTCTTCAAAAGAAACAAAAATGCAATACTGTCGTTTAAGTACTAAAAGCCGTGCAAACATGGCTCAACAATGATGACCAGTGTGAGGGAGTTTTGGGCCAGTTGACAGGACAGTGTCATTTGGCCTTTTCCAGTCAGTGCTGCTTTGCCACTAAAAATGTTACATTCGTAGATCTGAAGCCTTGAAACTTAAATGTTTGATTTTCTGTGATGAAATCTACATTGCTGTTGCAAATTCTGCTGATTTTTCAGAAAGATAATGCTATCTAGCTGGCTAACAGATGAGGTTTTGATGAAATTGCAAAAGTGACTTGTGGTATTCTTGAAACCTGTTATAATGTGCATCATATGCAATAATTTTCTAGCAAAAGTGTGTTTATAATTTTATAGAATATGTAACTACATTATATCCAGTTTGTTTCAATTATTTTTATAAAACACAAAAGAAGATATTTTGAAGAATATGGGCAACAGGTCCCCAATGACTTTCAACGTATGGTAAAAAAAAAATGCCAATGGGGACTAGAAACTTTTTGGTTACCAAAACTTTTTTTAAATATCTTTTGTGCTCAGCAGAAGAAAAAAAAAAAAATCACAAGTCTGGAACAACTTGAATTTAAATTTTTTGGGTGAACTATGCCTTTAACATATAAAGATTCTATTTTAAATGTACTGGCATCTATCTGCTAAAGCAGTGATGGGCAAACCTGGCCCTTCCAGGCCACTTTCCTGCAGAGATTTGATCCAACCCTGATATGACTCACCTGCCTGTAGCCTTCTAGTAGTCTTGAAGGCAATGATTAGCTGGTTCAGGTGTGTTTGATTAGGGTTGGAGTTAGCCTCTGAAGGAAAGTGGCCTGGAAGGGCCAAGTTTGCCCACCCCTGTGCTAAAGAGATGCACCAAGATGCTTTATTGCACTTACCTGCCACTGCCGCTGGTGCTGCTGACAGAGTCAGAGCTGGAGGAACGACTGCGGGATCCTGAGCCACTGCGGGAGCGTGCCAGCCGCACTGCTTGACTCGGCAGCCTCTGTGGTGATGGATTGTGTGATTGCGAAGAGTGTGGTGAACGACTGCGACTGTGGTGGTATGTCCTTTCTACTCGTCTGCCTCTTTCTTCTATGTATAATTCCCGATGGACCACACTGGCGAGTGTGAAAGCTTCACGGGCACGGGATTCATAGCGAGTCTCTGTAGTCTCAAAACGAGTAGGGCTCCGGCTTCGTGAACCATAGTAGACAATGCCTCCCGGTGTCGAGCTGCCACTTCCTACTCCAGCAGCGCTGCTAGTGTTTCCACCAGCACCGGTGCTTCCTGCAACACTCCCTGCAACACCTACAATGGCCCCTGATGAGCCGCCTCCAATGCTGCCACTGGCAGAACTGGCACTCCCGCTAGCTCCACTGAGGGCCCGGTCCCTAGAGTCTCTGTAATAATCGGTTTCGTAGTGACGTTGGTGATCGAAACTACTGCTGTTGCTGCTGCTACGCTCATGGTGTCCATAGGCACTGTGATCGTAAGACCGCTCTTGACCGTCCGCAGCCCTACATGACAAGGAAAGGGATGGAGGATGGCAGAGAAAAATGGAAAGAATGAAATGAATGTTATTTTCATCCCTGACAGGCATACAAGTCAAGTGACATGCGTTGAAGAGTGATTTAATCAAAACATAGACTGCAAGTGCATGTTGGAAAGATGCTGTCTTGGACTGTCTTTTATTGTAGCATTCAATACAAATACTGATACCAGGTCAGGACAACTTGGACTTTTTTTGTTTGTTTATTAATTTGGGATTTTGCTTTTGCAATTTACTCTTTTTGCATTTGTGAAATCAAACTGAATCCATACTGAAAACAAAGGGGGAAAAATTATGCATGACAAAAGCCATGCATGCCATGGTCAGTCACATTCCAAGTTACACAGGCTACAGAAAAAAAATCAGGAGACTCATTTACTTTACAATGGCAATTTACAATTTTTTAGATAACTAAAATGAACTTTTTTTAATGCATAAAACTATTGTTTTATTTGTTGTTGTTGTCTTTCTTAATGAGAAATTGCAATTACATTACACTTAGAGATGACCAATTAGATAGTTATTTTCTTCTGTATTAATACCATGAATATAATAAAGCAAATATCTCTTTTAATTAGAAATCCCAGACAACCTACTTCCCTTCTATGATAGAATGACATAACCGCGTATTACTGCCTCATTTTGTGATTTAATTAACTAAACGGGATGAGGTTTCATGAATACAATTAAGTCATTCTCAAATAATAAAATCAAATCCACAGGTTATAAAAACTCATTATTTTGGAATAAAGGTCTTTTACAATAATACGCTCCAACATCATTTGTTCTGGTCAGGCTGTAGAATAATGATTCATGTGGAGAGTGATTCTAAACCATGTTTTTTTTTTTAAAGAGGAACAGAATAAACCCTAACGAAAAGGAATGAGTAAAAGGGACACCATGATACGCTAAGCTCTACCCTAGCTTCACTTTAATAGCCATTTTGAAACACTTGGAAGACTTTCAGTTTCAGTAGCCCTTTTCAAACTATTAAAACATAACTGCAATCATCCCACAACCCTTTTATGAGTCAAAAACCTACATATATTTTTAAATCGCTGAGGGAAAAAGCAGTAATATTTTAATATTTTTAAAATTATATATTTATACTGATGAGTTCTGCTAATTTTAATTTTAAATCAGTCAATCTACCTGTCGGTTTTTCCTTATATAAATTATTATACAAATTATCAGATTGCAAATAAAAATTATTTCATTTACTTTTTCAAACTTGAATGGTCTTAAGTGTGCAACAGAAAATATTAATAACCAATAGCCTAACCTATGAGAGGTATTCTATTAAAATAATATCACCACGGTTAAGAATTGTTCTTAGGCACGACAAGTAGTGTACCTAAAGTCTGTTTAATCTTGCAATAGAGCTACCAACAGTTACATTTATTACTAATAATGATAATCATCAAAATAAACTAATATTTCGCAAAGTTATACTGACCACCGACCATTAATAACTGCGTGGTTGCCAAGCAGCATAGCAAATTTACACATTAATATATTAGCTATTTATAACACAAGTCAATTCTGTCATTTCTAATCACTAAAAGGTTGAAACAACACCTGACAAATTCCATTAAAAGCTTGAGATGCAGTTTCTCCAGAATAAGTATTTGTTAGTCCTGACAGTGAGTGATAGTGAGAATGTTGCAACAAATCTGACCTAGTTAATTTAAATAAGTTTGGTTTCCATTAGAAAAAGATGCTTTTGTTTAGTGAAGCCAGCTGTGTAACTTGACTGTGATCAACCTTTACAGTACATATAGTCCACTCCTGTAATTTGCACAAGAACTGTCAAACAGTGGTGACACATTGCATCAAAACACTCCACAGCTCATTTGCCATCTCCTCCATTTTCATAGAGCTGTTATGTGTTTGGCTAGCTTTGCTGTATTCTTTAAAGTCATTTGAACCTTTTTGTCTTCATAAGCCTCAAACAATATTCAAATTATTCACGTAGATAAAGCAGAGAGGCAAAAAGCCAGGGAGTGTGACAAAGATTGAGAATCAGGAAAGGGACAGCAAAGTGAGGTAAAAATCTGCAAATGCCAACAAGCTACTAAAAACAGCCTGTTTAACAGCTACATCTGTTAGTGGGAGATGGAAAAAAAGACAGGGGATCATACTAGGGGTTAGAGAACAGCTAAAATACACAGGGCAGAACATACCAACCTTTTCAGACAGCGGTAACCCGACCTACAATTCCAAATACAATTTAGGGAGACAGAACTTTGTGAGCAAAAAAGGGGGTTAAAAATGTAGAATGTAAAAATGGTAAGAAAAAAACTACGAAGTAATCCTTATCTTTCAGGATCCAACATAATAGTTCGACCAAAAAGAATCCATGCATCTTAAAAAAATAAGTCAATATCAATATGGGAAAAGCGTATGGAGGTAAAAGTCATGAGGCAGAATGTCCAACTCAGTTCAGTTCAAAGAAAAAATCCCCATCAGATCAAAAACAGGCTGGAGAAAGAAGTCCAAAAATATAAATCCATAATGTTGTTCTTAATACAGCATTACTTGTGTTCTTTATTTTCATTAGTCCTTTGAAGCGAAATGTCTCTGTAGATTTTGAAAAATTTGATTTTCTGCATGATGCCTCTGTCCTTTTAAATCCCTCTTCAGTGCATTAAAAAAACAGATTCAGTTCTTTGGAATCTTATCTCACCACCTCCTTACAGCTGAAAACAGTTCATTTCTCTGATATCCCAATAGAACAAGGTACCAATGTTCTAATCACTGTGAATGGTAATAATCCAAGTTAACTCTGAAAACATGGGCATTCGATCAATGTTTTACAAATCCCAGTGGAATCTTCATTGATGTTTGGAAAAAGAGATCAATAATCCATTGGCATTGGAATAGTCCATTAGGAGAAACCGACTTTCTTATTAATTGTAGTGTATCCATAGTCTGCTGTAGTCCCAGATCCGTTATGGGGCTTTGTAATCCAGTGGCATATTTCACATCCAAACTGAGATGTCTTTAGCCCCACAATAGCAATACCTCCATGCTTTACTGTGAGGATCCAAAAATCAGTTCTTTCTTCAGTATATTAGACCAAATGCTACTTTAAATCCATTTTTTTTTCTTTGGCATTTAGGAAAAAATGAAAAAATGAACTTAAATGGTCTAGAAATAAGTAATGGATAAATAAAAAGATTTGCTCACTGCGTTTCTGTCACATTCTACCATGTTGATCAATGGCAGAAGTCTCCCATGTAATTAAAAGGCAAACCCTAACACCACAAATAATCCCAAAAAAAAGAGAAAAGAAACCGTAGTGATAGAATATCCTTTGTCATTGGGTAGTATTAATCCACTGTGATTAAGAATCCAAAGAATACCATCCACAGCGCTCCAGATCATGGAATGGAAAGAACTGATTCCTAAACCACCCATTTCAATAATCCGATTACCAATCAATGGGTCTTAATTGATCAACACCGTAATCGTGTTACAATAACAGAGCAAAAACACATGATGTAACCCATTAATCCACCTTGGGCGGTACAGTACTCCAGAATAGGGCAATTCCAGGTAAGGCCGCGGTCACGGATTCGCTCTTGCTTCCAGAAATCCCGGAATATTTTGATATCCGAAACATGCCCTGGATTCTCTTCGCAGCGATATCCAACTCTGAGAGAATCCCCATGCAGAGGCACGCTAATCTCTACATAATGATAATGAATTTCAGTGCATGTTCACCATGCTTTGACAAACTTCAAAACTGGTTTGCTTTACACGGTGAGCGATGACAGACCTCAACCATCAAAGCGCGATGCCCAAATTAATACCCTCCAGTGTGTTCTCTTAATTTCCCTCATGTCACCCGCCCCAAAACAATAAATTAGCCCAATTAATGACGGAAATAACTGGGAGGGAGAGATGAGTTACAAGAAACGAACGGTCCCCCTGCCTTCAGAAAAACTATGTCCACTTACCCGTCTAGTCTGCGTTCAAAGCGTCCCTCTCTGCTGTGGAGTGACACAGGGGGCCCATACACAGGGCCCCCCGCCCCCCTTGTGAACCCTGAAACATCCCGCCCACGAGTGGCTATGGACAGGCTATCATCCAGGCCTCGAGCTGCACTGGGAATAGTTCCTGGCTCATTGTAATCAGTGCGTAGGTCCCTGTCTCCCATCTTGTTGATAGAATTATGAGCTTTCTGAGCACTCTTAATGTCCACAAAATCCACAAAAGCTGCCACTCCACCCTCTGATCCACGTTTTGGGAGCACTTTGACACTCTCCACACGTCCATACCTAAAAAAGCAAAAAATAGCAGAAAAGGTATTTAATTGTAGCCAACACAAATGCATTGCATGATACTTGCAATCAATTATGCTGATATGAATAACCATCATACACACTGCCAATCCGCAAAGGGCAGATTAGATGGTGAAAAAGCTGAAAACAAACCTGCATGCCAGTCATTTGTGCAATATGTAAATAAGACTATTCAAATAAAAACAGCCTGCCTTATGTATCATCACACAAAAATTTACCACTGTATGAGTAGCATCAACCACATGCCAGTAATATCTCCTTTCATTTGAATACATCCAATAATTATGACAGGCAAACAAATATCAGATTTTGATGGCCTGTTTCTGGTGCACCACAGAATTGCAAAATAGCATCTTGCTGCACAATATGTATATGCGAATGCCAGAATTCAGTCAAATGTCATAATTCCGTCAAATCATTCAGGCTTGAAACGTCCTTGTGATGTTTTGATCTGCTCTATTTACCTCTTCTGGACATGTTTAATAAACGTACATTCATTTTTACTGTACAATTCTTGAAATATGGTGCTTGTATGAGCCTCATGTAAATATACTATACATTAATTTGCTGTCAATCATCAAACAAATAAACAAAACATACTAAACAGATGACAGGTGTACATGGAGGTTAAAACAACACTTGGTAAGCAAAATATGAAAATGTGTAATAAGCAATAGGCATTCAAATGGGTGTTCTAGGTGAGCAGCTGTCTGATACACCAGTTCTCACACTCACTACACAATCTCCGTCGCCATTTTACAAACCTATTCACACTGCTTATTCATTCTCGCGTCCCCCATCTTCAATAAGTAGGCTACCTCTGCCGCACTGACCTGAGCTTTGACAGACACCTACACAAATCACTTCGGGGTACATAAATATGTTCAATTTATTTATATAAATGTATATATCTGTATTTATTTTCTGTATACAACAGAAAACTATTTCTCCTTTAATATTCCGTCACAACTGAGCATGAGCGTGTTTTAATTTAGTTCCCATTCAAGGGGCGACCGTTATTACCACAATTCAAATCTAAATAGACAAGCATGTGAACAAAGCCTGCAGTTGAGACAACAAAGCGGTTGGTCTAAAAATGAATAAATTATTTACACAAATCTTATATGTAGGTTCTCTCATACTAGTGCCTACCTCCTTTTGTGCTCAACTCGCAAAGTAATATCTTGCTATGTATTGTTATGATGTTCAGTCTAAACATCTCCAGCACAATACAGGCTATACAACCAAACAAAAACAACATTATGATGAGTTCGATCACAACTGCATTTTTCAAAGACTACGTCTGTGTGTTTTGATTGTAGCCTATTTGTACAAATATGTGACTTGACAGAATTAATGTGGTCAATAAAGTTGTTATACAGCCTTTAGTCAAGTCAATTCTATATGTATAGCGTTTTTTACACTAACTTACATTGTTTTAAGGGGATTTACAGAAAAACACGACGTTAATGTTTATAATACCTTAATACCTTCGTCGCATAACGCTGGGCGATAATATGGTTAACATTTTGCGACGATACTTGCGATGTAACGTTAGTTTCGCTTTACGTGACTATACCGTATGTATGCAGATAAAGCTGGGTATATTTAGATATCCAACCTTTTATAGAGATGTATGCGATAATAATTTATGTTTTGGGACGATATAAACAATCAAGCAACCGACTTTAAAGTCAGATGTATTGGTGTAACACGCGATATTGCGATGTCACTACTGAGGGAGCAATCTCGCCACGCTGTTTCAGATAAAAACCGATTCGCACCATTTAGTTCCAACAAACCGTGTTATTCTGATTTAGTTACGCCTTCCACTCAAAGCCAGGTTGTAACTTGTAAAAACTATATACTACCTCGTTTTACCTGAATCCATACAGGTGAGAAATTGACATTAAACCCCTCGGGTATGTGGGAGGTTTTGACCGCTAGATGCTTTTTAACACTGAATATCATGCCTTGCTGCCATACTAAACAAAACAGCCCATGTATGTGAGTATATTCACCTCACAGCCATACACAAACTTCTGGCTGACAACTTAACGTAAACGTCCTATTGGTGCGGTAATAGGAACTGTCGCCACATGTTCATAGACTGACAGAAATGATCATTTGCAGGTTGGTCCTGAACATTTTCAAACACACACTCGTCTTGAAAGTATCCCCACACTGCTATTGTTTGACTTCTCCTAGATGCAGCCACTGACGGTCAGTGCTCGCCTGACATTCATGACATCTGAGCCGAGCTCAAAACAACACCCATTGTAATGCTTTAGTAGTATAGTACAGACATCATTTAGCCAATTCAGCTCGCTCGCAGTATTTTTTCAACCACCAAGCAACAAACGTTACCTTTCAATAGTGTTACTGACATCTGGGTTGCAAATTAACGCAAGTTGAAGCCAGCAGTAATACAGCCAACAGTTACAAGTAACGCGCTTGTATGAGCCCCTCCGTGCTAATTAGCAACCTAGCGACGACTACGACTCTCGAAAGCTAATCACTAGCCAGCGTACGTTAAGTGAGCCAAAACAAGCCAACTCAATAGCAGCGTTGCTGCGAAAGTTGTGGCATACGTTTAAGGTGTTTAACTCCGCACCGGTGCGCTGCTATTGTTTTCCCCCAAACACTTGAAGGAAGCACATTGCTGGATGTTGTCTCGCTCTCAGCAAATCGTCACTTACCGTTTGAAGTGCTCGATAATTTTTTCCTCTCGTACATTTTCTGGTAAATTCCCCACCCATAAATGTCTGGTTTCCCGGACCATACTGCGTTTTGGTGTCCCCCGATCATACAGAAGATTTTACTGAGTTAAATCCGGCTGAATGTGTGTTACGGTGGGCGAGCAGTTCCTCTGACTCGACACTACGATTGGACCCGCTTGCGCTTGAAAGCTGTGTTGACTACGAGAGCCTCAGCCTTGCTGTCGAGGAGCGCGCTCCGGTTCATGACGAAATCGCGCATATGCAATGAGCACTCGGAATAGCACATGGATCAAATAATCGGACATGACATATTTTATTGTAAATCACCTTTAAGTGTTAAAATGTGCTTATACGTTGGATTCATGCAAGGTAAAAGTCAGACTAGGTTGCCTTGCTTTAGTATGACATTTGGCAGCCTGTTTGTAGAACAGGACTTTAAAAATGCAAGTTAATCATAATCTTGGGGTGTAAATTGTATGAGACGTGTGGTTTACCGCAAACTCTTTATACATGAGTCAGTGGCAGGACGGTGTTATTAGCTTCAGTACTGCTGCTTTGTATACTATGGAGCTTATAATATGACAAAACTATTTGAATTTGTATTGTAGTATATAAACCATAAATGTTTAAGAATGACTTAGGATACCTCTGGGCGATTCATGATCAGTTAGATCAACCTGATCTGAACACCAGAAAACTACTAATTGGCCAAAATGCTTCATTTGACTTTTCGGAGATCATCTACTCTTCCCTGTGGATTACCTCTTACCTACTTTCTGTAGCCTGCTATCTGAATTTCTGCATATTGAATTTTAGAATATTGAATTTGATGTTCCGAATTTCCTCTTGAAAACTTGAAGCTGTATTTTAAAAAACTGGATATTTGCAGTCAAAGAATTCAGAACAAAAAATTCACTGCTTGAAAATAGCCTATGTCTATAAAACTGCTATTAAAAAAAAAGTTAGTCGTGTTAAATTTCAAGTGTTCAATATTCAAGTAAACAAAGACTAATGCAGAACTATGTTAAATGCCACATAATATTAAGTTTTGATAAATGCCACTTGTCAATAATTCAAATTTATACAATACAAATTCAAATAGTTTTGTCATATTATAAGCTTCATAGTATACGTTTGCACATCCATTTGTTTTCCCAAAATCCAGGTGGGAACAGTCTGTTTTATATACGACTCACAAGTCAAAACAAAAGACATAACGAGATCCTCTGTACTCCGACGAACTAGTTCATTTAGTGCAGGTATAATTTAGTCAACTCTCTAGCTAATAGTTCCGTCTGTATTTGTGGGAGATTAGTAGCCTAGTCGGATATCTCCCAGTCTTAACAACAACAACAAGAACGATGTCTTTAACATGATTAGTTAATTGAAAAGACAAGCGTCGCGTAAGCTTAATAATTAACGACAGTACAGCCTGTTAACTGTCCAAAATGTAAATAAAGGCGATGATTAATCACTAGCTTATTGTGGCAATCAAATGCTGTCTTGAAGAAACACCCAAGGTAATGCCCAATCATGTAACATTTCCTTATTAAAACAAACATTTGTCTGTTTTCCAACTATGCACGAGGCGTACGGTTTGGTTCTCGCATGCGCCAGAATGCGGCAAAACAGGGACCGCAATGGATGAATCGCGCGTGCGCTTTTCACGCCCACATAGAGTTTTGACAAAGAGCGATCACAAACCCTCTGAGTGAGTGGTAGAAAATTCTGGAACTTGTACTGAGGTGGAGCAGTTTCTCAAGCTGGATCTTGAGCAAGCCACATAATCTTCAGATTCAGTCTTGAGTTCTTACTGGAATTGCATGGACTTTCTGGATCTGCCTAAATCCTTAATATTTATGGAATAGAACTAATAAAATGTAATCCTTTGACAGTTCTTTTGGGATTGGATTTGGGATTGGTTGCACGTTGGATGTACAAAAACGCAATTTAGTCCTAAACAATGTTGTATGTTATACAATAAATGAATCCCCTGGATACTTGGACAACAAATGTTCTTTGTTTTTTTCTTGCTCCAAACACAAGACGGTGTGGCAAACTTCTAAGGACGTGAAGACATTTATTGCTTTACTAAATTGATAAGAATAATTGTAATGCATTTATTCGACAGAGGAAACGACGGGATTGTAACCAAAAAAGTGACAGGATGTGGAATGCGTTTGAGAGAAATGTTTTGTCGTTGTATGTTTGAGCGCTTTTAAACGTCCTGGAACAGTCTCACCGTGATGAATTAAACGCGTACAGATTGCATACCAGAGCGATTTACGCGTCACAAACAGATCACACACTCGATGTTCCTGAATGTTCGGTTGTTAATTTTTGTCGTCAGTTATCAAAAGAATGTTCTTTGAAATATGACGCCATTTTGAGAATAACCTAGTGTAGGCAAAACCCAGCACAACAAAAGAAATGACAGCGCCTCGGCCATTTTGTTTCCAGTGGAGGTATTTTGGGTTCAAGTTCAGTTTAACTTCTTTAGCGCTTGGCTGCTTCCAAGGAATTGACGGAACTAACTTGTTACAGGGCTCAAAAATGTTAAAAGACTAGACGCAATTATGTAGTGAGTGTAGATGCTACTTTTAACTGTTTTTGTTGTGTTAGTTGTGTTTATTATAATGCCTGGGTGACTCTGGCCACATTTGTTGGTTGTTCCTATCCAAGTCATAGATAATCAAAATTAATATTGCTTGATTATATATATATATATATAGGTGTAGAGGAAATGTAATTCACCATATTCATACAGATATTGAATAGCAATATTTATTATTTTGGAAGGCATTTTTCATGCAGTACTAAATCGGCTTGAAATATTTAGGAATTGAAAGGCACATATCTCTTAAATACTTAAATGTACTTTTTTTTAGACAAACCACAGACCCTCATGGGATTGTGTTTACAACCTAGATTGTGTTTTGCAGAGATGTGTGTGTGTGTGTGTGTGTGTATGTATATATATATATATATATATATATATATATAGGTCAAGTTTGTTTTCATCCAAGCCTAGTCCAGTTTCCTTTCGAAATTCCTTAGTTCTCCCCGATTTCCAGGTCTTTTTAATGGGCTTTTAGGCACGTAGATGACATGCTGTGAAAATACAGTATGTTATTACATTTTATGCACACACAATCTTATCTATTGAATGCCTTGGGTATCAGATGAAGAGATAAGCAAATGCAATCAATTATTGTTTCTAACCTGATATATGGCTTCCAAAAGGTCTTGAGATGTAAACAGGCATGCAGCTTCACCAGTGAAGCAGATTAGAACATGGAGTACATCTGACCAGCTGCCCACTGTAATCAGTAACACAAAAAGCCCACCCAGTCGCACAACAACTGTATTGAGAATCTGCTGGCCAGGCGGATGATGTCGATCCTCTGAAAGATGGATTATATACTCATGATTAGACTCAAATGATGGCCAGTTTTGCCATGAAATGTACAATACTGTTCAAATGTTGGGGTCAGTAAGTTTTTGTTGTTGTTATTTTTTTATAAATTAATACTTTTATTCAGTAAGGGTGGATTAATCAATTTAAGTTATACTATAATCAACATATCAATTATATAATTTCAAATAAATGCTGCACTTTTAAATTCCAGTGAATAGAACGGTATTAAAACCATTACATTTTGCCAATTGATTGTCTTACCATTCATGTACACAACCAGCAGAGTGTAGCAGATTGTGAGTGGGGTCCAAAATCTCAGAGCCTCAGTGGTTGATAGAAAGTGTTGGTTTATGTTTGATATAGCAGCAATTCCAGATACACTAAAAGTTATAATTAGGGCACTGCAGAGCCAGGTTAATATAGAACTGCCAGTGGTTAATAGTCCAATGCAAAGTCCACAATAGCGCTGTGTACTATGTATTGGATACATTGTATTTACATGTCGCCATACTCTGCTGCACCTGCTTGCCAAGAACCAGCTCAGTCCTACTGCAAGGAGGAGGCTTAGCCAGCCTTGCGGTGCCCCCTCATGGAGGAAATTAAGGCTGCAGGTTAATGCGCAGCCCAAGGAGAACTGGCACTGGACAAGCAGCAGTAACAATGGGTCAATTATTGAGTCCTAAACAAAAAGAAACAGAACATTTTATCTAGAATGATATCGAGTTGTCATGCACAAATGTATTAAATGTCACAAATAAATTATGCTCATACTGATCCTCCTGTGATCCTTGCTGAAATGGCTCTAAGAGAGAACTCTAAAACTACCAGTGATGCAACGCGAGACCCCACAACTGAAAGAACCACTGTTAGGATCCAGAACTGAATTTTCTCTGTTAGTCCACCATTTAGTCTGTTCCGTCGTTTAATGTCTGTTTCAGGATCTGCGATACTTAAAAGAACAGACAAGTGAAATGTACAAAAACATCAACACAAAAACTGTCGTATCATATTATTTAAATATTATATAGGCTAGATTATATCAAATATTTATAATCTTCAGCCATACAGCATGGGCATATATAGCACATATACATTTTTACCTCTGTGCCTCAACAAACAAGTAAGTTTATAATTTCACAATGCAGGGCAAGATTATACCAAAAGATCAATCTATATTTATAATAAATAATCTATTGTTATCAAAGTAAATTAACTCCTTTATTAATGAACATTAATGACAGAATGTTCATTTCATGACTCACCTTGTAAAACACTATGTAAAGGAATAGCACTTGGTGTTAGCCAAGTAGGAACACTTGGCAGAAACCGGGAAATGAAGGACAACATGCCTATGTAAGTGAGAAATTGTTTAATGCGCCAATGATTTGTTTACATAGATACTAGTCAAACTGGCCACACACACACAAACAACTAAATCTTAACTAATCAAAATCATCAATATTACTGACCTTATTTTGTTATTTTCAGTTGCGTTGTTTGCGAACCTCACTCACATATAACCTTTATCAAGTGCAGATATGAGAGTTGGAGGTTTGGGAGCACAGTCTCAAAGGTCACTTAGGCCTTGATCAGTTTTTACAACTGTATGATTTGTTTCTCTACAGCCACAAAGTTTTAATCTATTAATGTATTCCCATAATTATTTCTGAGGCCTGTTCCTGATTTAAAATTGTAAAAATATTAAATAAAAAAACAACAACATTACATTTCTGCCCTCTGCTTGGGATTATTTTCATTTCCGTTAACTGATATCATGTGTACTTTCCAGAGATTTTATGAGCGGACTTGAACTTTACACTGCATTCAAGAGCTTTGAACAGTCAACAATTACCACCCATCCAGAGCAGAACATTAATATTACATTTTGTTGCCCAGCAATGTACAATGTACTTTATGAGGCAAAATAGAAACATATATGGGATTACATAGTTAATAATAATAACTTATTTAGGAAATTGTAATTGTTGTTTTTTTTTTGGACTACGAAACAGACACACTCCATTTCAATCTTTCATATTGTGAACCGTATTGGAATAGGACAATCAGACATTATTTTACGATAGTGTTCCTCAAATGCAGCATCCTCTTCTGCACTAAAGTGATTCTTCCAGTCACCAACCTCACCTATAAAACAAAATAAATATAAATTCTGAAAAAGAATAGAACAAATCCAATTTAAATGGTTCATTACTATAATAGTTTCTAACATAAAAAAATAAATAAAAATCACCTTTTCTCATGAACTCTGAGGCTGCACGATCAAAGATTGTATCTGGGATAGTTGAGTAGTTTGCCATGGGGTTTTCTCGCATAACTGAAAACGCTGTCATTTGCACAATATGCTCTATTGTACTTTTTGACAACTGCCGTTCGAGGAATTGAGCAATGCGGGTTATTTCGCGAACAGGGTCCTGAAATACAGTATACAAATTACTCAAATACTCATACTTAGTCTCAAATACTCAGACTTTTCATAGGCTCAAAAGGTTAAAGGTAGAGTTCACCCAAAAATTTTAATTTGCTGAAAACTGACTCTATTCAAGATGTAGATCAAATAAAATTTTGCATTATATCACTTATCCCTTATGAATCATAATGGGAATCTAAACAGCTGATAAAAGCAACACAATAATCCATAAGTAATCCACATGACTCCAGTCCATCAATTAACATCTTGTGAAGTGAAAAGCTTTATGTTTTTAAGAAACAAATCCATCAAGCCATTTTACCTTTAAACAGTTGCTTCTGGCCAAAATATGAATCCATAATCCATAATAATAACACCTCCTGTGAAAAAGTCCATCCCCTGTTGTTCTCTCATATTAAAATCCACTAACATATTTGTTAGTTTTGGACAGTTTTTGGACTGTTTTCGTTTGTTTGATCTGTGCATATTTCTCTCCTAATTCAGACAAGATTACTTTTTAACTGGACTGGAGAAAGCAATATTATGGGTAGAGGATTTTCTCTATTTTAGACGGAAGCAATGGTTTGAAGTTAAAAACGTCTTAATGATGGATTTGTTTTTACAGACATGCAGCTTGTGGATTACTTACACTACTTGTTGATTATTGTGATGTTTTTATCAGCTGTTTGGACTCCTGTTTGGACTGACGGCACCCATTCACTGCAGAGGATCCATTGGTAAGCAAGCAAATTAATGCTACATTTTTCCAAATCTGCTCAGATGAAGAAACAATCTACATCTTGAACTGACTGAGGGTGAGTATATTATCAGCAAAATGTAAAAAAAAAATTAATAAGTAAAAACATGTAATATAAATATATGTTTTGCAGAAAGCTGATTGACCTCTTTCATGTCTTCATATAATATGTAAAGGATTTTCTTGTTATGTCTTTCCCTCCAGTATCCTTTAACATGGTCATACCAGGATCCCCAACCCACTGAAAAAAATTCAGTCATTAGGAGTTCATTTAAGATATCATAATTAAGCGTATTCACATTTTACACAAAACAAGGCAATTGCTGTAGTGAACAGTCTAACTGCAGCATTCATGACTCACATTGCCCTTTCATGAACTTCTCCAGATATTGTGGCCAAGGGCCAGGCTCTGGCTGGTAAAGATGCATGCGGTCAAAGTGATAATATGAAACCACAGTGTCTTTCGGATTACGGGCCATATAAATAACCTATGGAAAAATGAAGGTGGGTTTAGCATTCACATAATATTGTATTTTTCAATACAGCCCATGAAATCTAACCTTCTAACCTTGCAACCAGCATCCCAGAAAGAACGAGGCACAAGCTGGATGGGAAGATGAGTTTTAATAACACGAGGGGGATCCATAACCTCCAGTTTAGTTATACCTATAACATTAGAGTTTAAATGTTTTTTATGCATAGGATACACCTTGCATGAAAATATATATGTTTAAAGTTTGGTTCTATAAAACATACCAGAACTTGAACCATCAGGAGCAGTCATCTCTAAGAATGGCATGCGCACCTGAGTGGGCGCCCGCTTGCACTTTTCAACATCTCCTTCATTCAGGATGCTATCCACTACTTCCTGTGTCCACGTAGTTCCTTTTACAGACAAGATGATTTCATCATTCAAATTACATTGTGTTGTTTTCATCATGCTGTTTTCAGTCTTTTGTACTCTACCTGCTTTAGGATACGTGGTAATGAGTAAATCCTCATTTGACGCCTGGAATTTCTCCACTCTTGCCCAGTACTTCACCACCGGCTCTAGTAATGGGACACCCTGAATTTGGCTCAGCCTTTCGCGTGTTGTCCCATCCATATTTTCCTTAACATTAGCTGTGATTAAGCATATAACCATTTTAATAACTGTTCACCAAAATGTTTTTATGTAAGACTTTTTCTGTCTAATCGTTTAATCTCTCGTACGTTTATTATTATGTATGACCTAATTGAGTTAATGTTGCTATGTATTAAGCGATTTAGTAGTAGACTACAAAACGAAACAATTAAGCTGTTTTTAGGAGAAAATAAGCCGGTTTTTTATACCTTGAGAACCTTGGACTGAAGCAGACGGTGAATGTAATGTGCGTTTTGTTGTTGCACAACTGCTCAGTAAGCTACTGGTTTGTACACATTCTGATTTGTAACGAAATGCGCAGTGGCAGACTGCGCACTTTTCTGTGTGACTTGCTTTATATGAAACTCTTTCCTATCATAAGCTATAATTATTATGTAAGATGCTAAAACTAAAGTAACCTTATAAATAGCATTTACGTGTAATACCTATAAAAGAACGCATATCCTTCTTCTGCAGTGCTTAATAAAGTGTATGTCAACTGGATTTATAAGCTAATAACCAAAAAAGACGCAATTTGTACTTATTCATTCTAACCAGCGTAGACGGCTTATAAATCATTCAGAATGAGTTTTTTTAAAATCTAAAAATGCAGAAAGTTTCCTGTGAGGGGTAGGTTTAGGGGTAGGGTTGGTGTAGGGCAATAGAATATAGGGTCTGTACGGTAGAAAAACCATTACGCTTATGGAGAGTCCCCACAAGGATAGCGTGTGTGTTTGTGTGACGTGTGTGTGTGTTTATAATGAAATTCTGACGTCCACGCGTTCCAGCACGGTGGATCTATCCTCCCTGCAGCAGATGGCGCTACTGTGTAACACTTTGGTTCACTGAACGGCTCTCTGACGCTGTAGAGGGAAAATGTGCGTTAGCGTGTGGATTGAGGGAAGCCCCTAGTTAGCCAAGAGTGGAAAACATGGATGATGAGGAGGTCGCCGAGAGCTGGGAAGAGGCCGCCGATAGTGGGGTAAATATGCGATAGCTGCGCTTTCCTTCTTGCTTCCACAAACAGTCTTTTCAATGTAGACAGCCTCGCGTGGAGCATTAGGCTGATTCATACCACCGGCCTCCTGCTAGCGTGCTAGTCACGCCTGTATATTTAGAGTTGGGCGGTAGGCCGCAGTTAAAGGGAAACTGGTCCCAAATCAGATGTTGTGGGATATTCCTTATTTTAAACCAGTGGGTAAAATAAAGGTGATTTTGAAAATGGCAGTTGGTGAAGCGACACGTTCGTGCGTCACGTAAAACAATTTGTGTTCTAAGCAAATGACGTAATGAAATTAAACTGCCTGCTAACTAATGCTAGTTAACTTAGCCGGGGCAACTTCTGCGGAATAACAAGGGGAAAACCTTTCTTTGCCACCGCGTAAAAAACCAAAGATGGCTGCCGAATGGACTGAGACCTGTTGGATGTCGTAGAGAAGGGACTGTGTCTTTTTGATATGTGTAGAATTTTATGAGTTGATTTTATGCGGAAATACGATTTCAAAGCAGCGGAAAATCGAGGTGGGATAGTCTCCATTCAGATAGTCAACAGGCGGTTTTCACAAGTTTTCAAATTGTCTTGGGTTCAGTTGTAAATGATACTGTGGGGACAATGTATTTGAAATTCCACATATCTTTACTGAGTAAAGTATTTGTAGTGATTTAGATGAAAAATGGAAGGTTTATCTCAAAGAGTTCGGTTCTTGTAACTTAAGGATAGTTATAACTTGCAGATGTGTGGATCTTGTGAGCGATACTGTTGTTTTTTAGATGCATTTAAAAGAATTGTTCACTCAACAATTGAAACAAGAAGAAAAAGCTGTCGTATTCGTATTACTGACCTTTTTCGTTGTCGAAATAGATGATGTGAGGCAAAATCCAGTCTCAGTCTCTCCATTCACTTTCATTGTTTTTTTTTTTCCCAG